GCCAGGCTACCAGGTCAGTAACCCACGTCCGTCAGCACAGACCCTCCCCTAGCCCCGCTGCACGCAGCCGCGAGGAAACAGTCACCGGAGAGCCAACAGAGCCCCTAACCGGACATGACCGCTACCCCGGGTTGAGCCCCCCAAGGAAGATGCCTCCGGGGAACCCGGCTGTCAAGGTACTTTCTGACCTCTGTATGACCTCTTTTTCTCATGTGCACCATATACAGTCCCTATCAAAAGTTTAAGAATACTTAAAAAATGGCCAAATATCATATTTTGCATGGTTGGATCTTAACAGGGTAACCTTGATGACAACCAAGTGGGATGACAAGCAGATCCCACTTGAAATGTTTTCTACGTGACACAGTGGAGGGGGCGCCATAATGGTCTGGGGTGTTTTTTTCTTCAGTGGAACAATGGAGCTTCAGGAGGTGCAGGGCGTCAAACAGCCGCTGGCTATGTGCACATGTTGCAGAAAGCATCCCTCATGACTGAAGGCCCTTGTCAGTGTGGTAACGACTGGGTTTTTCAACAGCATAATGCTACAGTACACACTGCCCACAGGACAGGGAGCTTCTTCCGGGAGAATAACATCACTCTTTTGGGCCATCCTGCGTGTTCGCCTGATCTAAATCCAATTGAGAACCTTTGGGGATGGATGGGAAGGGAAGTTTTTACAAAAATGGACAACAGTTGCAGACAGTAGATGCCTTTTATGTGGCCATCTTCACCACTTGGAGAAATGTTCCCACTCTCATCGTGGAAACGCTTGCATCAACCATGCCGCGATGAATTTTTGAAGTAATCAACAATAACAGTAGAGCTACTCATTACTGAGTTTATCTTTGGAACTTTGTTTTCTGTTTTGGTAGGATTCACTGGGCTTTTTTTTGGAAGTGCGGTCCTAAACCTTTGATCAGTTGTAGAAAAAGCCTGTTTCAATTCAATAAATTGCATGCTCTAAAATGCTTTGTCTCATTTCTATTTCCTCTTGTTGCATGTTGAAGCTCTACTTGGAACCTTGTTAAGATCCAACCATGCAAAATAGGATTTTTTGCCATTTTTCAAGTGGTCTTAAAGTTTTGATGGGGACTGTATGATCAGTCCTATGCTGTTTTAGTAATCGAAGAGTCCCCCATGACCTCTGAAATACCATCAGATGCCTGTCTCTATGGAAACCTGGGCAAATGTGGTGGGATCACAGACAGTTCTCATGACTGAATCAAGCTCCCCCTTCGACTCTGTCACCACTGGTCCATAGAAAAAAATAAAAACACACAGAGAAATAGCATGTACAGTTTCACACTTTCAATTCTCCTCAACAATCAACATTTTCCATGATTTGACTGGTGAATCGAAATTCCATCTGAACAGATAGGGGTCAGATTTGTCCTGGAACAGCCTTAATGTATTTGTAGCACCTGAACAAAAGCAGAAAACATTTAAATTAGTGTAATGTTGTGTATTTTGGGGTCACTTCAGAAAAAAATAAACTTCAGGCTAAAAGAATGACATGCAGAGTATTTATGCTGCTCTGCTGTATTACAAAAATTGAAGTATAAATAACATATACTGTACTTGATTTATATTTATTTATACAATAACTAAAATTAGGTTTAACGCAATTAATGTATAATAAATATGTTAAATAAGCAGCTTTAAGTAAACAACTTGAGCCTTTCCTGACAACTCTGAGATATTTTTACACTTTTTACAATTTGTATTTATTCATTTATGCAGTTATTAAAAAAAATCACAATAAAAGATAGAGACATCAAACCTTTTAAAACCATCAATGCACTGAGCATCTTTGATAATGTGCAATCTCATACATCACCACTGGAGTGCACTCACACAGTGGGAAAGAGCCACCACAAGATGTTTGCAGCAATCAAAGGTGTTTTCTTGAGTTACAAAAAAAGAAAAAAAGAATCACCAGACGTGAAATGTGAACTGAACTGATCAGGGTAAGATCTGACCCATCAATGATGCATTGAGGCCTCTGCACAATAATATTT